TGGGGAAAACATTGGCGATAATAATAGGAATCATCACTTTAGTTATCTTGCTCGTTGTGTTTCTTGCTTTTATTGGAAAGCAATGTAGAAAATTACAAGGTATTCTTTTTTTTTTTTGCTATATATATGATTAAGATTTTTATTCCTCTATTGCTAAATCTAAATCACTATATGGGCCGGTATGCTTCTGCAGATGAGAAATGGTGTACATGAAAGGACAAAGAGGGAAACGAGATCAATCAACGAGTCAAGCCACTTCTACTTGTATTTTTGTAATTTAATTTTTGGTAACTCGCCGCCTCATAAGATGTAGTTATATATTATTCCCATTTATATGATAGTCATTTCACTGATTTTTGTATTATTGTCGGACTTACATAGGTCCAAGCGATTTTAACATAAAGTAATTGATGGAAAACGTCATTTTTTTCTTTCTTTTGATATGAACGTAAGATTCAATTTGGTTTTCGTAAAGGTTTTCTAGTTTTTAATTCAAATTAATATCAATTGACGACGGATAAACTGATCTATGTTTTGTATATATATTTTTTTTACCAATATATTAAATTAAGTGATACTCGTTGGATGGTTTCTCTGACGAACAACTCAAAACGGAAATGTTTGATTTACATGAGAAAATATATAATCTCGTGTTCGAACTCCTGTTGCAAGAAAATCAGTTCGTACATTACCACTCTATGAGATATAAACTAAACTAAAAAATACATAGATATGTTTTATCATATTGAAATCCCTGTTCGAAAACGCGGTGATTAGGGCCGATTCCACGGCGAAAAGGCGCTCGGCGGTATGAGTCCGAAGAGATTTTGTGCTATTTGGATGATAAATCGGAATTTTGAAAGAAAAAAAAAATTAACCATTTTAAGTTCAAAATCGATAGTAACTCAACGGATCTGTTATATTTTGTTATAAAAAATAAGAAACCGCAAAAAAATGAAGAAAACGCGAAGAAATTGAAGAGGGGCGACAGCTAGGGGTACATAATGATTCCTCTTCAGGGAACTTATTGTTCTATTTACGAAACACTAATATATATAGTTAATTTATTTA